CGAAATATAGATAGACTTGTGAAATTATATATATAGAGTTTCTTGGGGAAACTTGAGAGATTATATTAGAAATCGTTCAACCATTTCATCCGCAACTATCTATAATAATTCTCGATCGTGATCGTGAGATAATTACATGAAATTTTTCAACAGGACAAGAGAATGAAATGAAACTGATATTCGAGATTACAACGATTACGAGGTATCGTATACGTGTTCAGACGAATGATACGATTTTCGAAGCCGATCTCGTTCTCGATAAAAAGATATTTGAACGAATTGAAATTGTTCTAAACTTTTTCTAAACATTCGATCGATGGCGTTCCACGTGCACGTTAACTATTTGATTCTGAGCATTCTTCTCGTCGTTCCCATTTCTATGGTCCGTTCATTGTGATATGTACGATCGGTATTACAAAGCGTTTTTTCCAACTTTTATTTTTTATTTTTTATTTTTTTTTTTTTTTTACGAAAAGTACTTAAAAAATTTAATAACCGGCCTTTAGGAGGCCAGGTTGATCGATCGATTACCTGTATCCCATTGATTAAAATCTCACTCAAGCTTTAATTTGAATCTCTGTCGTTGTCTTTTCTTCTTTTCTTACATGTGTAGAGTTTTTTTTTTCTTTTTTCTTTTTAGATCGCGTTGTTGGCGCGTCGCTTCTTTTTTTTTTTTTTTTCTTCTTCAGCATCGAATAAAGATGAAATCAAGTTTCGTATAAAAAATCGTTCGTATCGTATTGGCATACAAGAGAGAAATGCGTGTAACCCATGCGCATTGAAATTCACTTGAAAAAATATACAAGTACAGTGAAAGCTTTATCGTTTTTTTTTTTTTTATAAATCGACTCTTATCGAATCGATACTATTTTTTTTTTTTTCTTTCTTTCTTTCTTTTTTTCCACTTTCGACACCTTTAATTCTCCAACGCGAGATTATTACGCAAAGAACGAATCGATCGTATAATATGTTTATTTAAAAAACCAATGTATTGCTTCTCTGTAGGTACCATAAAGCTTTAACTGCATCCATTTTCGACGTTTCTGTCCTAGAAGAATAGATTGAAATCTTTCAATTTACTCGGAGAACGGTTCATCTATTCGATCATCTATCCAGGTATAAAAATTATATAGGAATTTTTTTTCTGACTAACGGTCGGTCCAGATAACCAAGGATTTCGAGGTTTCGAATGGATGCGCGCTGCGATTGTATTGGTTGTAGTCGCGTACGAAAGGATCGGATAGATCGCAACGAGCGCGTAACGCACGCGTAATGAATTTTGACGACCTCTTCGACGGTGATCTGGCTGACTTTCTACTAGCTTCTACTCAGCGACTAATACGTTTACATTCTCGTCTCTACTTCCTCTACGTACGGAAGTTGCGAAATCGTTCGTGAAAACAGTAAGAAAATATCTATAAGTAGGTGGTATTATTATTCCCTTCCGTCGACATTACACTGTTACAATAGAAAAACTATTTCGATTATCGTCCGAGCCATTACGTCCATTTATATGTCCGCGATACGATGAAACGTTTGCACTTATCATTTTTTGTTTTCTCGTGCTTCCATTTTATAGGTTCGACTGAAGAATAGATAAGAAGTAACAATTAGTTTCTTTTTTTTTTTTAATATTGACGAATTGAAAAAGATATGCACTGGTATGTACAATTTAATCCTTTATGTCTTGGGTTGTAAACTAGATTTATATTATTATCTTTTATATAAGCATAATAATGTTAGGTAAAAAAAAAAAAAAACAATTGAAAAAATTTCTGAAAAGAATAATATAAATAAGATTAAAATGAATTAGCATATACACTTTAAAAAAAAATTTGTTTATATACAGGTTTTTAATAAACATGATATTCATTAATATTGGTATTATTTTATATCATATCTTAGAAAACTTGTATTGGAAGTATTAAATCGTGTAATATGTCCGTTCGTATGTCTTTATCTAATTAATTATGTACTATTTCTTAGACAACAACTTTATTTGTTATATATTTATTTTTCTGATACTTTTTTATCGTGCGAACAAGTGAAACAATTATAAAATTATAAGGCAAAGCTTTGTGAATATAATAAGTAAAATAAAACATTTCAATGGAACTGTAATAATTTTTTATACGTCGTTTCATATACATATGCATATGGTCGTACATTGTTGTATAATGGAAAACAACTTTTTCTTCTTCTTTTTTTGAACGTGATCAATATTTTATATTAATTTTACAAATAGATAAGAAAATCTTATCAAATGCCAACACGAACGAATTTATTACACAATAAATTGTAAAAAAAAAAAAAAAGAAATAAAATAAATTTGATACAAGGTTACGACTCAAAGGATTAAAATGTCAACACCACAATATGATATAGTAGACGACAGCAATATTTTCAATTTTCTCGCGAACACTACGAATTTTTATAGGTTAGCTATTTGATGCATCACTCTTAATGTTGTTCAGGGCCATTCTAGATTCAGGATATGTGCACAAAAGATAGAACGAACACGTGTGTTAAATACAACTCGATGAACACACATAAAAGAGATCTGTACATGTCGATTGTTTTCGACGTTTGTAGGATTATTGTGGCTTCGTCATCTTGATTTCACCTTTTCGCGAAAAACACACACGATATACGCTCCTTGGCGATATCGGAGGAGATACAGACATTGTACATACCGATTCTACGCACTTTTCTAACCTGTTTCATCTCAAATCGTCGAAAATTGGAAGATATTTCAAAATAACAATCTTTCTTCTAGAGTGCATTTACTTGAGCAGAATTTCTTGCTACTACGTAAATAATTTCATCACTACATTCGATATCTACATTAAAAGAAAGATCTCAAATAAGTCGAGGAAGAAAGAAAAAAGCATGCGCAATATACGTATGTACACTCTTGTCCATAAATCACGGAACATTTATAATTAATTTAAAATATCTGAATGAATAACTTAATTATTTAATTACAAAGTAGATAATGATTTATAAATATATCGTGCATCATTTTTTAAAGGTTTTGTATTGTGTATCTATCTTTTCTAATTCTTTGACTGATAAATGTTTATCATATTGCAAATGCACATGATCGAAGAACAAATCATTTTCTTCAATACTTCATACTTCATATATTTATAAAAAAAAAAATATTCAATGTAAAATATTTAATTTATAAAACAAACATGAAAATCTATATGTATATCTATTTATAATAAAGATTTATATTTCAATAACACAAGATAAGTTTGTGCGTGAGCAAAAGTTAATTAAATATTATTAAAATTTAATAAATATTATAAATAACAAGTATACTTATGACTCGTAATTTATGAACAAAAGTGTATGCTTTTTCGATGAACAAGGCACGCCCTTACCACACTTCTTTTCTGCCATTATACTATCCATGTTATATTGTTATTCGTGTATTTAGTCATAGCTTGTAAAGATTGATAAATTCGATCGATGAATCAAAAAATACCGTTTGTTTCGTCGAATGCGTCAACAAGAATTTCTAAATAACGCGTACACTTACAACGTATGATTCATTACGTCTCATAAATTTGAGGTTATGTTCAAATATTGCATTAGGTGTATATGTATAAGCATTGGATAATATATGCGTACGTTATATAAGTTATTATTATCTTGACCGTGTTTTTATCCTGTTCCAAAGAGGTGTTATTTTCATCGAAAGTCTATAATCCGTACTCGAGGTTTTGGTTAAACATTTAAGATATGGAAATATCGTAGATATCCCGCGTAAGTTCTTGGATTAATAATAGCTTCCTAAAGATTCCTTTTTAACTTAATCCATCATAAGTATCCTAAAATCGTCATCGTTATTGTTCTAAATTCGATGAACTCGGCAAACTATCCGGATTATATTATTTACCTATCCATTATGCATCTTTTTTTTTTCTTTCTTTTTATTTCTGTCCACTCGATTATGAAAATGGGAAATTCGTTTCGATCTATATTTATTAAACACGGTATTTATTTGTTGCATCTCGTATCGTATCATCGTTGCATATTAATACGATAATCAATTAGCGAAATCATATGATTCGAAATTCGTTTTAATCGATGTGTATATCAAATTTAATATATATGGATGGAAATTTCTGATTTATCTCTGATGATATACAACGCTGATACAAGACACGATTATCGAAGATAGGAATGCATTTCCTCGCGTTTCGAATCCTCGATTAAAATTACGTGATCGCGAAAAATAAAATTACCGTAGCGCAAGCGATATTTAAATACTTTAATATCTCACTATGCGTTAAGCGATTACGAGCGAACGAAAAGAACGAACACTTCTCGAGCGCTTTTTGTTCGCGAAACAGGACGAAATAACATGGCAGTCGATAAATAAATTCATGTTGTGACGAAGATCTAAAGATCTTTATAGTTATCATTATGGCAGTAATCGTAAGTTTCTTAACTTTTTTTTTTTTAATATAATCATCCATTGACTGGTCGTATTAGTCTATATATATGGTTATCTCATTGTGCGCGATGAGACTTACAACATTTTCGAACAACGTGAATAGTTTCCATGTGAATGTTAAATAAATAAAATTTCGAATTTTGCTCTAATGGGATATTCAATAATTCATTGAATAAATTTTGTAATAAATAATTCAAAGACATTTCTTACAAAAGTCGATGGAAAAGTGATGAAATGGAAGATAATAAAAATCTTTGAAAAAAAGAAACTTTTTCGTGTAATTTAACGTGTTTATCAATCTTGTCTTGCACGTATCATAATAGCAGCTGATGAGTAGCGCAAGCAACGATTCGTGTCTCGTAGGATATGTTCATTGGGATATTCATTATTCGAACGAATCGGTGTATCGGGGCTCGAGAAGCGGGTACAGACAATACGCGAGAAGATGTCAAGTGTGATTTACAAATGGTATACGAAGAAACATTTGATATGGAAGAACGGGAGAAAGTGTTGTCGCGACAGACGGTGTTTTTGTATCGAAAATAAAATAAAATCCGTACGTGTCGGACGTGTTCTCATGGGTAATAATCGAAAGTATGATATGTAATAAGATCCGATACGATGGCATGATAACGATATATAACGCGAACAACAAAACGCAAACGGATGTTGTTTCGTTCAATGCACCACGCAACCACGTTCGGCGAGAGAGACAACGACCCCCGAGGCAACGTTTTCTCTCTTCTCTTCGTGACGACAATGATCCAGGAACGTGATCGGAAACGGTATACGTGAAAAGTTTGCTCGGCGCGGAGCGAGAGCGAAGAGGGTAGAAATCGAATCGATCTAATGAGGCAGACACGTGTCGGAGTCACCGCTACTGGCCATGGAAAAGTTTGCCGAGTCACGATCGCTCTGCCTGATTTGCGCTGTGGTGGTCAGCTTGCCGTTAACTTGGGACGCTTGGGGGAAAGTGTGGTGGCCGGGCAGCGCCCAAGGCTGCGTGTGCAGCTGCACGGGTGGGAACCTCTTGACGAAAGGATTGTTGGGGGCGGGTGCTATGCCGGGGAGAAGTCTGACGCCGTTGTGGTGGGACGGTAAAGTTGTGTGCGCGGGCACCGTCGAATGTACCTGCGGCGGGACGAAAGCGTGCCTCGGCACCGATCCACAGCTTCCGCTCGAACCGCCCATATGAGATCCGGCCATGCTGTGAGAGGCGTGGGGCAGAGGCATGGTGGAGCAGTGCGGATAGGTTACCACCGGCTGGGTCGGGTAATGCGGCAAAGTGGCGGACGAGGCGTGGACACGAATATCGTTGCTCTCGGTGAATGACGTCATCCTCATGTTGGTGGACCGGCCAAACGGCTCCTCGTTCGGGTTCAAAGGCTCCGTAAGCTTCGTCCTCGACAGCTTCCGTCGTATCACCACGGTCGCCTCGTTCGGATTCTCGAGGATAACGGCCGGGCATCCTTGGCCAGCGACCGTGCCAGCTATATCATTTACGTTAACGTTCGTGCTGGCGCTCACGCTCGTGTTCACGCTCGGATTGTTAGCGCTCGCGTTCGAATTTGGATTGGCGAACAGCGGCACGTGGTTCGCATACTGCGGCGAAGAAAAGGAATGGCTGGTGCCGGGGCGACTGTTTGGCGGTGAAAACGTGATCGTCGCGGACGGCGGTTGAACACCGCGTTGGAGGGAACAGCTGCGCCACTGCGCAGACTCCTCGTTGTCTCGCTGCTCGACGACGTTGGTGGCGCCGCCACCGGTCACGTCGTCCACGCTGGTCGCTCGCCGTTGACAGCTTCCATTGCTCCCGTTACTGGCGTTACTGTGCACGCCGCTAGAGGACGTTTCGCTATGGCTGCTGGCGTTACTGTGCCCCGAGCCAGCTCCGCTGTTGCCACCCGCCACGGCGTCCAACGGCGGAGAATTGGAGGAATCCGAGCGAGGAGTCAATTCCTCGTGCGGCATTCCTGAATCAGCTCGGCGCAAGCATCGTGGCGTGTGTCCTCCGTTTGTCTGAAATCAATACGCGATATATGTATATATGTATATTCATTCGATTCAATCGAAACGAATCTTGTTTATATTTTCCTTTGACTCTTGCTTTTCCTCTTATTTGTTTATTACTCACTCTTTGAAAATTAGAAAAAGAGGAAAAGCAGGTTTCTTTGATCGATTTATCATTTGTGCCAAAGAATGAGCAAACCGATATCGAATTGTTATAATAAATTATGCTATGTTAAATAAAGATTCTACGCTTTCGAAAAGTTTGTCCGTTCTTTGATCGACGAAACAAGGTGGACAAGATTGTTAGTACCTGGGTGTTAGTGGTTAGTAACGCCGTGACAACTTCGGTAGTCGGTGCGCAAGTCGGAGTCGGAGTTGGGGTCGGAGTCGGAGGTGGCAGTGGAAGTGGCTCCGAGGAGGAATCGGGCAAAGGGTCTGGAGTCAAAAGAGGCGAAGGGTCGCCTTCCGAGGGTTGCAGATCGCGATTTGCACTCGCGTAGTACGTCACTTGGTCATCGTTCACGCACTCGAGCAGCTGTTGGAACGTTTGCAATGATTAATTGCCAAGCAAATGCCAGATTTTGTCGCGATGTTGGAGAATAAGCCTAATACAAAAGTTTCGTGAAATGGTATGAAGAAAACGGGAGATAAAAAAAAAAAGAAAAGAAGAAGAGAAAAACAGAAAAACAATTCACACAGTAGTTTTAACTTTACGACACGTGCAACGACGCTTATCAGCTGTGAACACCAATGTTAGCGTTTTCTAAATACATTTACAGACTTATAGATATTGTCTGTAGAGATATATCCATATGTTATATTTTTTAATACCTCACAATAATTTGTACGTAACATATTCATACAAAAAGTTATTGGCCAATATTTTCCTTTTTCTTTTTCTTTCTGTGATAAGATGAACAATAAAATGAATAAATGTTTTGTTGTTTCTTTTTAATAAAACTGACATAACAGTTTTCTACACGTTTCTACAGGCAATGTCAGAAACTCTGCGCGCCACACTAATCAGAAATAAGAAATTAAAGTAAAGGTGTACCTATATCGTTAATTGTAATAATTTAATCAAGTTTTGTTTCATCGTGTTTCGCGAATGTGCTTCAAGTTTTAGAGAGTTTGTTTTGTTGTTTGTACAATATCGTATAGCGCTACTGCTTGGAAGTGTTGGAGCAAAATCCAGGGACAAGCGCAAGATCGAACGTGCATCATATCGATCGAATTACACTCTTGACAAAATTTAATATTTAATCTCTATTCAAATCTAAATAATTTTTCTCTATCTTCCGTGTATCTATATAATCTATACTACCACACGTTAATACACAAACACACACGCAGTTAGCTAGTGTTAGTGTTATCACGTACGAAGCGTTGAACACGAAAAGGAAGAAAACGAAAGAGAAACACATTTTTATACATCTTACGTTTCCAAATTTAGGTATACCGTCCCTACGAGATATCAGCCATCTTTCCCACTGTTAAAGCAAAAAAAAAAAAGAAAAAAAATTAAAATTAAATTAAACGTTGGACAGAGAGAGAGAGAGAGAAAGAAAGTCGCGACAAGAGCTGAAGAATAAAAATAAAATACTTTATGATTGAACGGAATGATTTATCATCATGAATGGAAGAACGATGATTCGTAAATAGAAGCAATACCTTGTTCTCTTCGGATGTTGAGTCATCGGCCGGATCCAAGGACGTAATTAACGGTAATTCTCGTAACGTGGCGTAATCTCCGTCATCTTCAGGGCCTCCGTCACCGTTGCCTCGTCTGATTTTTCCTTTATTACTGCAATTCGAACGCAACACGTCGTGACACGTTACAATGAGTATTCTCGTGCGGATACTTGGCGATTGCTAAAAGGATCGAAAGGAAAGAAGGAGAGAACGAGAGAAAGAGAGAGAGAAAGACGATAATGGTAAAAAGGAAAATGGGGAGGGGAGGGATCGTACATGGTGAAAAAAGAAAATGACACATTAATGTCAAGTTCGTGAATAATTCATTGAATGTAAGAATATTTTATTATTGATAAATATATATATATATATATATAAAATACGATATCTTATCCAATCACGTTGTAAAAGCAAGAATGGCAAGAATAGGGCAGAGTTGATAATTACACGTGCTAGCAATGCGTGACGTTAACTCTTCGCGATTCTATTTGTGTATAATCGTGATCTGAATTTCATCCATCGATTATTTATTCGTCGCTTGTTTTCGGCAAAAATATCGATGCCTGTTTGACGAACAGCTAGCAAAGATGCCTTCGTTCGAAACAAACATTGTTATCTCTGAAGGTGAAGCTCGATGGAAATGTGACACTTTATATCCCAAACGAATCAAAAAAAGATTTGCATCACTTTTCCTCCAAGCTCCTACCTATTAAATATCTTGTAATCTCAAAGAGTTAACCAATGTAAAATTTATTCGTTAAAGCACACAATTTGATAAAATTAGCCAACACACGGATGTATATGTACGTACGTAAGCACGAGATACAAACATGGTACGATCGAGTAGAAAAAAAAAAAAAAAAAAAGAAAGAAAGAAAAAAAAGATTCAAGGTGAGAAAGAGGATCGATAGAACATTATATTCGCTTGAATATCGTGAGAGTAACAAAGTATTGTAAAAATACATAATAGCAAAAGCAAGAAATTTCGCGGGGAACGCACGATCAAAGGCATGGGTTATATAAATTTTCCGATTGGCTGTTAGATCCGGATTGGGACGATAGATTCGGGCCAATTCTACGTATAATAATTTTGGATTAGCCAGTTTGAGGGAAGGAAAGAGAAACGAAAGTGAAGACGAGCAATGAGCACGGGCACAACGATACATACAGAAAGACATCAAGAGGAGGGAGGAGGGTAGTTACCGCGAGCCTGACGTACTAGGCAGGTCGTTAAAGGTGACCTTGGGTTTCAATTTCTTGTTCAGCCATCCTTTCTCCGTCGCTGGTGCACCGTTCTCGTTCGGCGATCTAGTCGGCGACGGGCGCAATTTTGGTCTCAGCCAATAGATTTGTTCATCGTCGGCCACTGAATCGCCGTTAACGGAATCAGTGTTTCCTATGCAGTTAAAAGAAAATATAAAAATATCAACGCGACTTGTTTCGCTCGTGATTATGTAACAAAAAGAGTTATTATACAAAATTTATCCGTTTCGAGTCACTTTGAATCTTTCAGATAAAGCTATTTATAGGTTATACTTTATAGGTTATATCGCAGAAAGCATCGAGATCTGGATAAATTTTCATTCGCAATGTTTGTTATTCACAATGTAGCCACAAAATGGCTAAAAAATCACGTTAGTGTTATACGATAAATCTTGAATCTCGTTCATTCGAGGTGTATCTTACCTTGAGCACGTGCTTTCCTCTCGATAGCCGCCTTTTGTATCACGCTCATGATAGCCTTTTTCGGTGAAGCGTCGGCAATGGTGTACGTCCTGCCGTTACCGACAACTAGTAATGGCGCGTTGGTTCCGTCCTCATCGTCCCTGGCCGATAACAGATCGACGTCGGTCACAAGTTTTACCGATCTTGCCGATCTAACGGTTGCACGGCCTATCGTCACTCGCAATTTGAACGTCCAACGTTGTTTTATCGTGAGGAATATCCATAAAACCAGCCATAGGAACAGATGCAGGACGGTGGCGACGAGACATGCTAAAATTGCACCGTCCAGGCTGCCACGGTACACGACACTGTAGTCGTAGAGCAACGGCGCGCTGCATATCGCGATTGCCAAGAACACGCATAGAGCGGTGCAATGGATAAAATATATCCAACCGTTTCCGTTTCGATTCTCCTTCGACAAGATAATTCGACGCTCGCGTTCGTGATTTAGAAACGCTGTGAACCTGTGTGTCGTAATAAAATGGATTGTTTTCTTTGTTTCATTTCGTGGACACATACTGAAGGCAAGCGAACGGAATGGAATGGAAGAAAACGGAAGGGAACTTACCTGCCATAAGCGTAGAAATACATCACCATGCTGGAGCAAAGCACCAAGAGGGAGGAGAGAGCGAACAATACGAGCGTAACGTGTGGATTCAGCAGAAAGTACGAGTCACCGAAAATGGTCGATATGCTGCTTGTGGTCGATATCGTACGATACTGTTGGCGAAGAACCGGTAGCACCTTCAAAGGCCCCATTACTTGGACCTGTTAAAACAGATTTATCGTTTTATTAATTTAACGAACGAAATGACAGAAAATAAGATACAAAGCATACGTAGAGTTACTCGCCTTGTAAAGAACGGACATTCCAACGTAGGCCAATAAGCTCTGGGCGGAATTGATGATTAATTGGAAGCTAAAAATCGTGGCTAATGGTTTATTGCACGACCAAAAAACCGCCGGATACCTCACGGAATATACGCCAAGAGCGACGGCGTAATTCAAATACTCGAGAGTGATAGGTCCGTACGATTCGGCTGTAGAAGATGGAATAATCGTTATGAGACGTAACGAATCGAATTTAGAGAGAAGCGAAAGAAAGACATCATACCCGATTGTAATTCAAGATTCAACTTTTCCGGATGATCCAAATCGGCCAAGCTGTTCATCGTTAACGACATACTCTGCGCGGTCATATTTCCAGCAGAGACAGTCTTCGGTCTGACCGTCGTCGAATTTCTTCCTACGTTCTTTATTTTCGACTTGCTCTTTAAACTGTTATTTTTAACGATCGTCTTGCTAGTGACTGGTCGCCTGACAGTATTTCCATATTTCATCGGATTGGACGTCGAGGGAAAAATGGACGCGAGCGTTGATGCTGCCACGGCGGTAGTCGCGGTTCCAACTGTAGCTACTTTTCCTATTTCCGACGTTCTCGTCGACGTCGATGCTTTCGCGTTCCTCGTTATCGACAATGTTGTCATCGTCGCTGTTGTCGTTGGCGCTTCCGTACTCGTCGTTGTTGTAATCGACGATGCATTACTATTGGCGGCCATTGTCGAGTTTAAAATCGTGGACGGTGTTTTCGGTGCATCGATAATGATTTCTTGCGTCGAGGGTGTAGTTGTAGCTCGTTTGGCAGGTAGGGCGGAAGTGGTACTCGGAACTCGAGTATCAGATGTGGATAGACCGTTACTCGCCGCTCGAAATAACCCGTTATACCTTGTAGTTTCCTGGTGTCGAGATTCGACCGCGATCGATTTATTGATAAGATCGATCAGTTCTGATTTCATAGTGGTAATATCGTTCCCTGTATTATCGGTGGATTCGTCGTCGGGTGTTAAAGTGACGAAAGGTTGGGGCGTTATGAAACCGGTCAAGATGCTAAGATTTACGGTCGGATTCATGAAGCTTGACACGACCAGTCGATCGCGATGAGTCACCAGCCAATCCAGATCCGTACGCCATATCGTTTCTGGAAAATAAAACATACCGTATTAATCGTGTTTGATCATCTGAATTGCGGTCGATTCGGTGGACGAGTACCACTTTACGCGGGATCTGTTTACAAGTTGGCGAATGCACGAACGACTTTTGTAAAAATATAAAGTTATTATATATACATTTATAAAGGGAGGGAAAAAATAGGGAGAAGAGATGTTGTATAATAATATTTGTGATAACGGAATTAATTAATTTCTACTCGTATTTTTTTATAAATTTTGCTCGTTTAAAATAATAAAATCCGATATCGTTTAATCAGATATTTGCGTCTGTACAATGAAATCACTCCACTGTAAAGCGGTTCGGTTTCTCGATAAGGATATAAAAATATGTATGGATATAAAAAAAAGGATCGAAAAGGGGGAGCGAAAAAGGAAGTAGGAATGAAAGCGAAAAGCCATCGAGTCTCGGAATCCGAGAGGCAACCGTATCGCGAATTGAGGAATAGGGTTATCCGTTGGAGGGAACGAGATGGTACACGGTTAAGTTGTTCAAGGTAGAAGGAGAAATCCTGTAGCTAGCTGTATACACACACCTGGCCGATCAATACACGAACCAGAACGTAGTCAGGACGAAGTTGCCCCGTTACATTCCAACCGCCCCTTTCTCCGTCATTTTATCCCATAACGATAGCGATCCGAATCCGCGATCGATTATCGCGTCATCGATTCGATCGAAATTTTCTTAACGAATTGGAATGATAATACTAAGCCCGGCGGCTTAGTTTTAGGAAAGGAAATTGCGTGCCACAGGATGATACCTTGCCTTCCGAATAATACCATCACTTTGCACGCAAGCTCATAAATCTCATAATTTACCACGATTTTCGTTTAACGCAATGAACGGATTCTTTCGAATTGACATTTTGAAAAAAAAAAAAATAACATATACGTTTAAAAGAAAAGTTTGTACAAAAATAATCTTATAGATTATCCGATTTAAATAAATATCAGAAAACGTTATTAGCACATCGTTATTCCAAGATATTATTGTTTCTTTTCGTTAAATTTCGTTATTGCTAAAAAAAAAAAAAAAAAACCCACGACAATTGTACCTCTCCATTAATCGTAAGCCAGCAAATAAAATAAAACGTCGAAACGATGGATGTTGATGTCATTACCTTTTGGCAAAAATCCAGCGTGTATCAGCCTGGCCTCCATGAGAAGCGAGGGTAGGAGGAAGCACATGGCCGTGCAAAGGTGTACGAAAGCGGCCGTGGGACCCCCGTGTCTCCATAAATTGTTCGCCAAACCTGTGAATTGACCGACCGAATCATCGTGTAGTGCGTGATTGTCCTCGAGTAAACATTCCCCCCCTCCACTCCCCGCGTTGCGACGCTTCAACGCGGGAAAGGAAATGAAAGGCGGAGGGGGAAAAAGAGAGAAAAGATGTACTTACTGTGGTCGGGGTTGTTGGTGAGCAGGGACGAAGGTGGATCGCGCGAGCACGCGCTTAAATGACGGCCAAGTTTCACCCCATCGTTCGCCAGGTTGCCGAGCTTTAAAAATGCCGCGCCAAGCAGGACGGGCAACAAAACGACTCCAGCACCGGCCAGCACCAAGCACGCGTACAGCTCCACCTTTGGCGGTGGAGCGTCCGCGGGCCAAGGTAACGATAAATACGCTGGAAAAAATTCCCTCCTTTTTTCTCTCTTTCTTTCTCTCTCTCTCTTTGCCACCTTTGTACGGTGGCTCCCTCTTCGCCTTTTTTCCCATTCTTCGAAATAATACGAGAAAAAGAAGGAGAGCTGACTTACCGGCGAACCTTTTCGCGTATCTTAACCCGATGTAAGCTTGAAAAGCGACCGCCAAAACACCGTACCAGACGGACCACAAACTATTCACGTGACCTCGTATACAAGAGCTTCGTCTGGCCGATCTTCGGGGCTTTTTCGTTTTGTTGGTTGTTGTAATACCACTGGAATTTATGCTAGACACTATCGGAAGCGGTTTTAACGGCTTCTTACACTTTGCTTGATTTATCTCGTTATTGTTTTCGTAACCCATCAAGCTTCCCGTCATTGACATCTTGTCCTGGAAGAGGAACGTTTCGTTTCGTTCGTTCGATATGGAAACAATTTTTTTTTATTTAGCAATTTCAGAATTGGAAGTTCTATTTATCGATGAAACAGAAGAAAAATTGTGAAAGATCGCGCGAATAAACGATTCGCGTGTAATAAATGTAACATCTGTAATTCGATCCGTGAGAAAACTTGTTTGAATTCAATTCCATTTAAATATTTACCGAGTATTCTGCTGTTTCCGGTATAGGCGTCTTAATGTTTCGAATGAGTTAGTTCGGAACAATCGATTCGGAGCTCTGACATCTTTAGAGGTGACAGCGCCGCCTGAAACAGAGAAGGGGAGGAGACGAATTAGCAAATTGATCCTCCGCGAATCTAATGAGAAGGTGAACACCAGAGAAATCACGCGAACATGTCTGATTCGATATTAATAATTTTGATTGACGTATATAAGAGTTAATTTTTGAACGGGAGAATTATTATTGACTGAATGAAAAATTATAATACTTGAAAAAAGAATTTAAATATGGTTTTTATATTGGATAAAAAAAAATAGTCGAAAATTAATTATAACTTACATATATATATATATAAAGTTATTTTACAAAAAGTAGATGTACAATATTTATACGATATATTGCATTCGTAACGATATAATTGATCAGCCTCTATATAATATGCGTTTTAAATAAAATTTTCTCGTAATAAAAATTAACGTCTTGAAATTTTTCTAATTGGCATAATGTTAGTTACAACAAATTATAATATTCCTTTATGTTATATGAAATTTTAAAAATGGTATGTAACGTTTTAAGCTTTAAATCCTTTGGTACATTTTCTCTTAAATTTTTGCACGAAAATTACAAGAAATATACAATTATATTCAATATACAATTATATAAGTATTTAATATTTTAAATAAATCTCTCATTTTTTTTTTTTTTTTACGAGATATGACGTACTCTTTGAATCAAATGAACGAGATTTTTTTAGTAGAAATTGAAAGAATAAAACGAATACGAACTTTACTTTAAATATTTCTTTCGATAGATAAGACGGGTGGGAGAAGGAAAGCGTCGGAAGACGTACGATCTCGATAAAAGGATCGCAAGACGGGGTTACACGAGTGCAAAGTCTCAAGTGACGAGTTAAGTACTTATTGCGCTTAAGCGGTGTCGTTTGATGGGACGAGAAAGCCGAGAAAGGGGAAACTCGCTGGAGGGGTGTTGCGAGCATTGTTCGAAAAGTTGCGCAGAAAATTACGCGCCGTGTCTATCCGTGAGCAACTCTCCCGATGCCCCTCTCGTAAAAGGCACAATGACGAGAGCAACAAAAATGATCGGGCGGCTTATAATGCTCGCAGTGTCAGTGCAAGAGCGTGCAAAAGGGGAGTCGAAACAGAGAGGGAGCTGGCGTACCGTGATAATTCTAGTGCTCTTACGAGTCCACATCCCCCCCTCAACTATCAGCCTTTCTTTCCATCCTGCACGGCACGGCGAGGAGGTCGGTTCTTTGGCTTCTTTGAAAAGAAGCCGGTTTTCCAAGGTGATTACTTCGGTGGAAATTCTTTTTTAGCCAGATATTGCTCCCGATCTTGCTTTGCCACGAGATTTGAAAGGAAAAGAGGAGAGATACCGTGGAGATCCCTTACACAACAGACCTTTCCTCTTCTATCTTGCCGTACAAACTGACCCTGATACCAAAGAAGAAGAAGAAGAAGAAGAAGAAACGCGTTCGTCGTTGATGTCGTCGAGAGTCGAAGAGAGAGAGAGAGAGAGAGAGAGAGAGAGAAGAAGAAAAG